TTTTTTTTTTTTTTACCTAGACAAAGTTTGCTAGCTTCAAGCTTTGGGAACGCCTTTGTATGGGCTGGCAGTGATCCTAGAGCTGATTCATTTGAAAGGCATATGAAGGATCTAGGAGAAAGGGGGGATTCCCTTCTTTATTGTGATTAGTTTTTGAAATTCCTTGCATCACCTGAAAGTTTCCCTCGCTCAAGGAAAGCAGCCCGGGCTGAGCGGCACCGGGAAGAGAACACGACGCCTGTGATTTAATGCACGAAAGACGTCGCTCTGCAGAGCTCCGGCACCGCTCTCTCCCTCATCAAACCCCGCTGCAGCGAGGTGGATGCTGGGCACGGCGTCACCCCGACAGAAACCCGTCCTGGTCGGACCGGCGCGGGATGCAGGGAGTCGGCACGACAAGGAGTCCCCGGCAGGGGCTGGGCTCAGCCTGGCCGGACAGGGCACTGTTTCCAACTCGAGTTCTCAGTTTCTCCTCCTTTTTGTTAAGTTCCTGATCTGCCAACAAAGTGCTTTGAACTGGCTCCTGACACCGTGCGGGGCTGGCATTGCTAAATGACTCGGTTCCCGAATGAGAGGACATTACAGATGCTGCTGTCTCTCCCCCCAGTCAGCAGCCGCTTCGCGAGAGGGGCTGGGCTCAGGCACCCCCAGGGCACAGGCAAAGGACACCGACTTCTGGATCCGAAATTAATCACGTCTGGCGGAGCCGAGACCGCATTCAAATGAGATCATTACTGTTTCCCTCCCCAGAGCACCTGTCCGCCGTGCACCGGCACCCAGGGGTGCCCCCTCGTGACATAGCCGGGAGGGGCGCTCGCGTTTCCACTGGAAACCACCCCTTCCCCGAGGTCGTGCCGGGGCTCGCGTTTTGCAGGCCGAAGCGTGGCACGCCGCCGCCCGCCCCGAGGACGCTGGCGCACCGTGACCCGTCGCGCCGGGAACTGCGGCTCTCGGCCATGCCCGGGAGCTTGTGTCTGCGGGGGTGCTCGGCCTCGGCTCCCCGCGCCCGGCCCGGGCTGCGGGACCCGGCTGGCGCGGACCCGGGCACGT